TGAGCCCCAAGAATGGGTGTGAGCGGCCAGACGAGAGGAAGAAGCTGCATAGGTCAGGGCGAGAGAGAGCCTGGTGGTTTCCGTACCTTCGTCAGCTCGGCCCAGACAGTATGAAAAGGAAAGCATTAAAAAAGGAGATCACATCAGAATGGCTAAAATTAACAGGAAAGGACAGATGTTGGCAAGGATGCAGAGAAAGGGGAACCCTCTTACACTGCTGGTGGGGAGGGAAGCTGGTGCAGCCACTCTGGAGAACAGTATGGGGGTTCCTCAAGAAGCTAAAAATAGAGCTACTCTATGACCCAGCAACTGCACTCCTGGGTATTTACCCCAAAGACACAGATGTAGGGATCCGAAGGGGCACCTGCACCCCAGTGTTCATAGCAGCAATGTCCACAGTAGCCAAACTGTGGAAGGATCCAAGATGCCCTTCAACAGATGAACGGATAAAGAAGATGTGGTCCATATATACGATGAAATATTATTACTCAGCCATCAGGAAGGATGAATATCCACCATGTGCATGGATGGAACTGGAGGGGATTATGCTAAGTGAAATAAATCAAGCAGAGAAAGACAATTATCATTTGATTTCACTCACATGTGGAATTTAAGAAACAAAACGGAGGAGCATGGAGGAAGGAAAGGAAAAATAAAACAAGATGAAATCCGAGAGGAAGACAAACCATAAGAGACTCTTAAACATAGGAAACAAACTGAGGGTTGTTGGAGGGGAGGGAGGTGGGGGGATGGGGTAACTGGGTGATGGGCGTTAAGGAGGGCACGTGATGGAATGAGCACTGGGTGTTATATGCAACTGATGAATCCCTGAACTCTACCTCTGAAGCTAATAATATACTATAGGCTAATTAATTGAATTTAAATTTAAAAAATAGGGGGAAAAAAAGGAGACCACACAGGTAAGTGCGGGACAGATCGTGCAGGGTCTAAAAACCTAGCACCCCGTTACAGATTTATTTTTCTTATAATGAGAACTTTTAAGATCTATTCTCTGAGCAGCTTCCAAATACACAATAGAGCAGTGTTAGTTAAATTTATTTGGGGGGGGGGTCATTTCATACCATACACATACACTGAATCACTGAGTCGTACACCTAAAACTAATACAACGTCATAGGTCAATTATATCTCAATTTAAACAAATAAATATGAAAACCTAGCACCCAGGGCAGCCAGGTTAACTATCCTGCCACTTCTCCCAGGGCCTAACAGGTGTCCTGCAGTCCACACCACCCCCCTGCTTGTCAAGTCGCTGTCTTGTGCTCAGTCTAGGAACTTGTACAGTCTGCTACACCTTAGAGATTACAGATAAAATAAAAAGAGCATAATGAGCACCTTAAAAAAACAAAAAACAAAAACAAAAAATTCAAGACCTGGTCTCAGGCTATAGAAGAGTGTTTGTAACGCAGGTCAAAGAATCTACTTCCCAAGATGAGGCTCTGCTTAGGACCGGATCACAGATGACTTGGGGTGAGCATTCTGCTGAACCAGATGTCGAAGATTCTTGGTATCAAATGCCAACGAATACGCAGGTTTCTGGGGTCGTGAGGCATAACAGAAACACAGAAAAACAATCAGAGCTCAAACAAGGAGGCAGCCATCACCTCCTGCCAGATGGCCCCTCCCCACCAACTGAACGGAAAGCAAGGCTAGCCGGGCATTACATCCGGGGCTTGGTACCTACGTTCGCCCTGCCTGGAGTGTCCTCGCCCACCCGGTCCACTCGGCAGACCCATGGCCCTTCTATGGGGCTCAGTACAGACTGTCCCTCTGCCAACTTCCCACTCGCTCCTGCTCGCAAGCAGAACTCCTTGTTCCCTGAGCTGGCCTCTCTGAGCATTCTGTTCTCACCCTAATGCGGTGTGTGTGATTGTGCTCCCTCTGGACCTTCGTGGAGGCTCCAGAACAATCAGGATGGCTCACCTGCAAATTCCCAGTCCCTACTACAAGAGTAGTGAGCAGGTGGCAAGTTCTAAAGAGACATTTGCTGCATGGAAAAAAAAAAATGAGGCAAATGGAGAATTCAGACTGGTAGGTCGGAGCTCTGGTGACGGGATTTTTGGACTAGAATTTATCGTCTGCTGCACACCTGGTGCTTTACCCCCATTAACCTCTTACACACCACTCTCAACAAACTCTGTGGCAGTGCTGTGACACTCTCATTGTGAACACGAAGAAGTCGGGGCACAGAGGGTATAAATAACTTGCACAAGGTGCCACTAGATTCAAATCCACCTCCATCTTGACTGGCAAAACCCACATCCTTTTCACTCCTCTAACTTGATCCCAGCGATGGGGAAACTAAGATTTCCCTCCAGTTAGCAGCTCTGTTACTGGCTGCTGTAAGCATTCTGTCTGGAAAAGTCATGCAAAAGACCAACTCAGTCAAAAGTTTAAAAGAGAAAGAAAGAATTCATGCTCTGTTGCCCACTATTTTGGAGACAAATGCCTAAATTAAGTCACCCATTGTTTCCACTCCCCAGTAGAATATAAGATATACCTACCCCCTCACCCTATCAGGCTTCCTAAAAACTGCTTAACAGAACCCGCTAGCTCAGGCAAAGATGCAAAGACCCCAGAAAAAGCAACGGGGTTGGTAATTTTCTGTAAGGGAACCTCCTAGCATAGTGGAGAGCTTCAGAGTTCTCTTGTTAAGTGAGGCCTTTCCTCCACACTCTGGCTCAGCAAAGCACCAAGCTGTTCCTTCGGAAACTACATTCCAGAATCAATCATATTAGCCATTCTGATTACCATATCTTCTACCTTCGGCATATCATGAAAAGCCGGTAAAGCACAATTATTGCTTTTATATTTCATGCTCCTTGACCAAGCTGATTCTTGTAGAGCGCTGAATAAAATCTCATTTTAATAGACCAGCCTTAGAATTAGTTAATCCATAAAAGTTTAATGGGTTTATGTTACTGAAAGATCTAAATCACATACAATTATTTATACACAAACACATATGCGTGCGTGCACACGCACACACGCACAACACACACTCGAAATCTGGGTCACAGACCCAAGTGCTTATAAGGACAAAACCAACCGCATCAAATGACTGAAGCTGAACTCCAGGGGCTGCAAGGAACCAGGGAACAAACGACCTTGTACAGGCACCAGCCACAGAGGCCGTGTGGGATGAGGGGCCCAGCCTGCCCATATCGGAACCCAGTCAGTAACTCCGTCCACCACTTTGCCTTATTGTCCCAAGGACTGCCCTGTTCTCTCATATTTCCAGACTACCGAGTGGCCCATGTGCAGTTTTACCAACTAGATGCCACCTCAAACTTTATCGAGCTTCGCACAACCCAACACAAGACTGATGTGACATCCTAAGGAAGGGCGAACCTCTCTCCCAGAGAGGGCCCCACACTTGTGGACACCAAGCAGCCAGAACAGAAGTCACAAAGAACATGGCAAATGCCAAAACACTAGCTGGAGGTATAAACATTATTCTCCTTACTAAAAAACAACAACAACAAAAAACCATATATCAAATCATTTTGTTGTACCCCTTAAATACATACAACTTTTATCTGTCACTTACATCTCAAAAAAAGCTGGGGAAAAAAATCTGCTTGTGTATTTTATAGACCGAATATGGGACAAAACTGCGTGGTAGGGCTCACCGAGACTGTATGAACTTTGGAAACATGGGTGCATCTCGACCACCTCTTAGCACACTGCTCCCTGCATCATGGACCCCTCATGGCCCTTCTCATAGACTGAGTTTTTCCAGGTTCATTCTTGGTTCCATCGGTGATGCTCCAGTGGCTTCCCCTTGACTGTTAGTAAACGCTCTCCTTGCCTCGCAGAGTTCCTGCAGCATTAGTAGTTTGCAAGGACGGCTCTACCCCTGCCATCTCACTAGCTTCTCCTTTTACCCCCACCTTCCCCCCACCCTTCTGAGCCTCTCCACAGGGAAACGGCAGCCCCGAGCTCCAGCGTCAGGACTAAGTCACCTGCCAGGGATTCTGGTCTTCCACGTGTAAAAATCGCCTCCCTCGCAAGGACACTCACCACTCTTCCAGGCAAGGGAGACCCTTTCGGTTCCCTTCTTCCCAAGTCCTGCCGACTTGTCACAGCTCTGACTCTAGCTGAATTCACTGGTGCCCCGTCATTTCGATTTGCCAGCATGCACTGGGCAGATACTGACAAGCATCCTTGCCCTGGTACACTTTTCTAACGTTTCCACTAAAACCATGTCCAGACTTTGTTGCAGGAGCCCCTTGCGTTGGACACTGACAACACAAGAGCAGACACTGCCAAGCCCTCCCTTGTCCCTCAGCCACTCACCATTCTAAGCACCTGTGACTCTGCTTGGGGACCTTCTGTGCCTGCAAGGGTGCCCTCAAGCGGCATGCATCATAGTCCAGAAGTGCTGGCGAGGGGAGGCCAGTGGGAGCTCAGGTTGTAAGAGATGGAGGTGGGGATCCAATGTGCTAGCTTCCTCGCTTCTCGAATAGGACACTACACAACCTCCCAGAGGTCCCCAGTGGCCCCAGCTGTGCACAGCAGTACCGTGCCCCTTACTGCATGCTATATTGGTTTTCTTTCCTTCCACCTCTCACTTCTCATCTCCCTACAGGAACTGGGATTACCTCCCAAAGAAATCGCTTGCAATCAAAACCCTACCTTAGGGTCTGCATCAAAGGGTCTGCATCAAACCCAACAGAGACCGATATTTTTCCCATCCCCCAGGGATTACACCTCCTGCTCCACCAACTAGAGCTCCGATCCAAGGTTCCTCCAGGGACATGAAAATGTCATACCTACTTACAAATGTGACCCTATAATAAATGGAATATTACTGGCCTAGAAGCAGCATCCTTTAAGAAACTCAGTCCCGTGTGAAGAGTCTTTGCTGGATGTGTCTTATTAAGCCACATGCCCCTCCAGTGTGGGTCAGTTGAGCTCATGGGGTCCCTACTAGTAACTGGAGTCACTGGGGTCCCTGTAGTAATCACCTTACATACCTACCCACTGGACCAAGTAGCGGACACTCCATTCTCCACTCCATGCTCTAGTTGACGGTGAGGCCACAGAAAGCATGCTAAGGAACAGGCACGTACAATGGCACCCACATCCAATGAATTTTCACAGGTTACCAGATGAGTGAGCTTCTGGCATTTACCAGCACACACTGCTTCCGGAAAGTGTTGCTGGGGAACAGAACAGGAAGAGCAAGATAAGAACACAGCTAAATTCCTTATTATCTACACTACAAGAAATAAGTCAGTGGGAGGAACAAGGATACAGACAATCCAAATTCCCATCCTGAATGGGTAGGCTCAAGTTACCCTTCTCATTCACAATTCAAATTATTTCCTTCTTTTTTTTTTTTTAAAGATTTTATTTATTTATTTGAGAGAGAGAGAGAGCACATGAGAGGGGGGAGGGTCAGAGGAGAAGCAGACTCCCCGCCGAGCAGGGAGCCCGATGCGGGACTCGATCCCGGGACTCCAGGATCATGACCTGAGCCGAAGGCAGTCGCTTAACCGACTGAGCCACCCAGGCGCCCCCAAATTATTTCCTTCTTGACCTCCTTCTTCATCTGTGGCACATCCCTGCTGTAACTCGGACCCAGATGTTCCCCAACGTAGGCTGACTAGACGGGTTCTGCGTCTAACTGCTGATGACTTCATTTGTATGTGGTTTCCTTACAATAATGTCATCATGCAGGTGCCCACCGCCAGGAATGTTTTTGGGTAGTTTCAGCTTTAATTGAAATCAAGACTCCACCTAATCAATTTCCCCCTCTGTGCCTGCTCCCTCACTATAATCAAAAGAAGCCATATTGTTCCCGTTTTCCATGTTTTCTCCCTCTTGTGCTTCTCTATTTAAGAACTTGCAAAAATAGGGCGCCTGGGTGGCTCAGCTGGTTAAGCGACTGCCTTCGGCTCAGGTCATGATCCCGGAGTCCCGGGATGGAGTCCCGCATCGGGCTCCCTGCTCCTCAGCAGGGAGTCTGCTTCTCCCTCTGACCCTCCCCCCTCTCATGTGCTCTCTCTCTCTCTCTCTCTCTCATTCTCGCTCTCTCAAATAAACAAATAAAATCTTAAAAAAAAGAACTTGCTAAAATAACTAAGTATCTTTAATATCTTTCCCTCCTTCTACATATGAATTCCCACCAAGAATGCCCTCTCTGATTAATACCACCACTCACTAACGAGATCTTTCATTTCTTTAAAAGAAATCAAGAAATTATTTATACAAGGTCTCTAGATTTTTAAATGCTGATGAGTAAAACTAATTAATTGAATGAATGAATGAATGAGTGAATGAATGAATGAATGAATATACTCTTTGGGCCAAAAAGCACACACCTGTAGCTTGAATGCAGCCTGTGTCTGCTGGCTTGTAGCTTCTGGTAATCAGGTACTTCATTTTTCCAATGGATCTGTTAACAGACCATGATGCTTAAGGCTTCCTTGTCTTTCCACTGACTCTTCCCTTAGCTTAGAATTTCTCCTCCCTCCCACCACCTGGCTTATCTCTTTTAAAACCTTTCTTAATGATGTATCACCTATGAAAATGTCCCTGTTCCTCCTGCCCCATCAGTGAGCGCCCATAATGCCTCCTCCACAATATTTCTTATCTTGTGCCTACACCTTCAGCTGCCTTCAACACATTCCCCCCCCCAGATAGCTTTTGGGGGGACACTTTGGTTTCTTCTTCTTTCTTTGCGGGGGGGACAGTTCCTGGATATCAGAGTCTTGTGCTGTATAACTCGGCACATCCATATCAGTAACACCAGGAGCTATGGTACCTGCAGGTCCCTGCGGGTAAGGTTTACGGTACCTGCCACACAGATGTTACCCAATGAATGTTTATTGGATTAAGGGTGGGAAGAATGGATGAAAATGATTTCTTAAACATGTCATGAATTCAAGTTCTTCCCAACAAATGCTATAGAACTTAGTGGGTCTGAATGTAGCTATCCTCACAAGTGCGACATTAAATTTGGAGGACGGCCAAACAACATCTACAATATCAACCTGCTTACACCTCCCTCGACAATGTCCACATACTCCTATCACCTCCCATTTGCTTCTTTGCTTCCTCTAACCCACTGGTTCTCAGCTGAGAGTGATTTTGCAATCCAGGGAATATTGGGCAATGTCCGAAGACAATCTTGGTTGTGCCCACTGGGGAGTGCTGGTGGCATCTAGTGGGTAGAGGCCAGGGGTGCTGTAAACCTCTTACAGTGCCCAGGACAGCCTCCACGACTAGGAATTATCCAGTCCAAGATGTCAGTAGTGCCGAGGGTGAGAAATCTTCGCCTAAGAGGCATTTGCCCCTGCTGTTGTATTGGCAGGCACTCAGAGAGGGTTTCCCTAATAGAGGTGATTAAAGGTCCAGGTGCTTCAGAACGGAGGATGGGATTTAGAGTCGGCAGCTTACAGAAACATTTCACATGAACCCGTGTTGTCAACGGGGAGCTGCCAAACACCCTGACCTGAGCCCATTCCTTTCAAAGAAGTCACTGAATTGCCCCAACACTTCACAAATGCTCTGTATTATGCATGATTGGTGGGTGACCTTTACAGTTGAATTCAGCCTGAACTGTGCAATTGACATAGAAGGAAGAAATGGGCTGTTTTCCTATGAATTTAATATGGCATTATAGTGTTTTCCTCTATGAAAGTTGGCACTTTCCAGTTCAGGCAGGAAATCGCATGATAATGGTAATAACACCTTTTATTCAGTGCATGCTGGTGTGGGTTGAATGGTATCCCGCCAAGCAATATGCTGACATCCTAACCCCTGGTCCTTGTGAACGTGACCTTTTTTTGAAATAGGGTCTTTACGGATGGAATCAAGTGGAGGCCATACTAGAGGAGGGTGCTGTCCTTATAAGGAAAGAGAGAGGTTTGGAACACACAGAGAAGGCCATACGAGGATGGAACAGAGACCGGAGTGGACACACCCGAGCCACCAGAAGCCCTAGAAACTAGGAATAGGCAAGGAGGATTCTTCCCCATATCCTCCAGAGGGAATGTGACTCCACCAACACCTTGATTTTGGGCTTCCAGCCTCCGGAACTGTGCCGGAATATAATTCTTCCCTCTTAAGCCACCCGGTTTATGGTAATTTGCATAGCCGCCCTAGAAAATGAACACACTTCCGACATCCCAAGCACAGTGTGTGCATCACCTCCTTCAATCTTTACAACCATCCATTAGCAATATTATCCCCATTGCACATATGGTAAAACTGAGGCTCAAAGAAGTTACGGGGCTCTCCCACAGTTGCACAGCTAATAGGGACAGAGCCAGGATTCAAATTCGAGTCTACGATTCTAGTGCTGTGCCCCTAATTCCAAATGCCTTGCCATCTCCCCAAAAGGCACTGAGTTATCCGTTTTCCCTCCACCCCCCACCCCCAGTGCTTAACAAATCAAAATTGCAGTTAAAGCCTTGCTGTTTCTGTCCTCCCTCAGAGCGCAGGGTGGAATTTGTACAGAACCTCTCCCGTTCACGATTCCTTTTCAAAGGAAGCACTGCTCGAGCTCACCTCTCCAGGGATCTGCCTCCCTGAGTCGGAATGCACCCGTCTGACTTCACCATGCCTCTGCCTTCTTGGGTGCCATGTCCTTAGGTCCGTGAGCCCTCAATGACCACCTCTCGTGTAATGCTTTTCAAGTCCTGCCTCACGAGTCCTGTCTGAGCGAGCTCAAGGGGAGACCCCAAAGTGAAATGGAAAGTTCCTAAGATTTGACCCCACCTCCCCAGACCCGGTTTGGAGCCCCCACACAGCTCTCCCCTCTCCTGGACCTCCCCGGTCCTTCCCTGTAAAACACAGACACAAAAAGAGATTCTTTCAGCTTAACTAGACTCCTGCCTGCCATATCCTCACCTACGAGGGTGTTCACCTCCTTGGCCAAGCAACCCAGGCAAAGTTAAGCAAAACGCACCCTCTCTGTTTCTGGCCAGGATTTAGGCCCTGTTCCCACCCGCTTGTCCAGCCTGGGAGCTGGACTACAGAACACGGAAACCCCAAGAACGTTCCCTGGACTTCCCAAAGCCACAGTCAGAAGCACTGCCAGGTCTAAGCAACCTCCACATGCCTGCCCCCACCAGGAGCCAGGTAGCACCCCAGGGCCAGGCAGAGAAGCTGCTGTCTGCGGAGGGAGAAGCTTGCTGCGGTAGCAGCGGCTGTCCTTCCTTTACTCCTTTTCCAGGGCTGCACCTCCTTGTCCCCCGGAAGCCGGTGGGCGGGCCATGCTCCTGCGGCGCAGCCACCAGTGAAGGCTGGGAATAGATGCAAATATCTCTGAGTCTTGCTGGGCAACCTGAGCAACGCACATGGACAGTGCCACTACTTGGGACCCCCAGACACCCCCAGACACCTCTTTCTTCCAACCCACAGCCTTCCCACCCTCCGCAGCGGATGTAGCCCCTTCTGCCCTCGGAGTCCCCATCCAGTAAACATTATGAGATCTAACATTTTGGGGGACTCACTATATAACCAACAACCTTCTAGCTCCTTACAAAACCACCTCGCGCCCTCCTCACCACAGACCACTGTGGGGCACGGATTACTGTCGGAGCCTTCGGTGGGCTCTTCCCTCTTTCTGGAAGGCCTTTGCAGGAGGATGAAGAGTGACCCCCCCACACACACCAAAGATATTCAAGCCCCAATCCCTGGAACCTGTGGATGTTACATGGCAAGAGGAACTTTGTAAATATGAGAAAGATTCTGTACTGGGGAGATTATTCTGGATTATCCCCGAGGGCCCTACATGTGATCATGAGTATAGGAGGGAGCCAGGGGACGACAACACACAGGGAGAAGAAAGCAACACAACAGAAGCCGAGAAAGATCTAAAGATGCTCTGAAGAGGGAGGAAGGGGCCAGGAGCTGAGGAATGCAGCCCAGAAGCCAAGAAAAGCAAGGAAACAGACCCTCCAGTATTCTGGAGGGAGCAGAGCCCTGCTCAAAACCTCGACTTGAACCCAGAGAAGCTGACTGTGTACTTCTGGCACCCAGAACTGTTAAGACAGTCAGTCTGTGCTATTTTAAACCATGAGGCTATATTTTTTCCAGCAGCCCCAGGAAACTAGCACATGTCTGTTTCCCTGGCTTTTCCGGGGCTCACCCCGCCCCTTCTTCTCATTCCCGTCTCAGTTCAAATGGTACCTTCGAGACAGGTC